TTTTAAAATCTACATTAATTCAAGCGTTTTTGATTCAAAAAGCAAAGCAATAAAAAACTTTTTAGACGGAGCTTCATTGTGACTAGTGCTATTTTTAGAACAAGTGGTCCTTGCGGGCGACCGTGTGCCCGCGGGCACCGCGTTGGTGACCCCTGATCTAAATGGTTGGTGCTCAGTGGGGTGTTAACCCTGGGAAGTGGCCATTTCTTAGTGATGACTTCCTCCAAACACCAAAATATGACTCACTGTGGACCCAAGTAACTAAGATGGCAAATAACACTCACACATGGTCTGGCATAGCAGCATGACTGTCCCTGGTGAGACACAAACCTGGCTGGTGTCAGTCAAAACTTATGCTGGCAGTTTCTGTCTTGCAGGTGTCCTCTGTTCACATACATTTTTCACTCTGCGTGTTGCCTAGCCGATACCTCTGTGCAGCCATGCGACTTTATAAGCATGTGCTTGTCTGAGTCTACAGTGTCTGCTTGAGCCTTTTCCCCTAAAGTTCAGCCTGTGAGATTTCCTCTCACCCTCCTGTCAGATGCTGCTCTGCTACTGAGGAGACATGCACCCTCCTGTCCCCCCTCAGCACACCAGCGCACCCCAGTGACCCAACCAGGGTTAAAGGTCAGCACACAGCCTGCAGCTAGCACCAAAGCAGTCACTCTAGAAACGTCTCATTGTCTTGGCTGATTCACTGAGATACAAGTGTAAGTTTACAAAGCTGTGAAAACAGGTTTGCCTGCAATTTTAGACATTTTTACATTCAATTGGGGTTTTGACAATCACTTGTAGAGATTCCTCCAGTAAGATGAAAAAGATGCATCTGTGTATTGTGGATAGAATACACTTTTTTTGATCAGTGTTTTTTTTTTTATTTCATGGTGACTGCTGTAGTTTTGAAACTTTTTTTCAATGCATCATTTTGGGCTTCATATAATTTAGTATTATGCCATGGTTTCCACGTCATCGCACTTACCTTTCCACTTTGCAGCCAAGAACATTCTCTATTGTAATTGGCAATATTTCAAATTTACAGATGTTCAATGATGTCAAAATGGGTTTAAGTTTAAAACCAGCTTTAAAGTCAGTTTTGCTGTGGCCTAAATTAAACGGAACCATTCTGTAGCTAACACTGTGCGTCAGATGCCTTACTGCATCTTAAGTTTGGTTTTCAAACAACATAAAGAGGGTGACAGCAGCACTACACTGATTGCCACATTACTATTTTCATTATATTTGGATGCGTGTATACAAATCAGTTCAACTCTAGAAATAAAACACAACAGTGATGAGCTAAAAATAAGCAGGGGGATCTGCACAAGATATGAACGGTCATATACTGAGCTTATCCTTAATGACAAACACAGATTACAGGTAATGTGACAGTAAAAGAAACACGAGGTCCCAACTATCACAGTATATGTCATTTTAAATCACAATCCTGGGTTGTGATACTGCAAAATACATTGTGAACAATGTCTGTATAATAAAGGGAGAAACTGCTGTTTTGTTTTGTATTTTGGCTAATCCAGAAAGGTAAATCTGCTAAATCTAAGTACTTCATTACATTGGTGCAAAAATCATATAACAGGAGTTGACAGCCTCCTAGCATGCTAACTACATCAAAGATGAGGCTGAGAATAAAACCCCATCCTGCGGTGGCCTTAATCCTTCAACACCTGCGATTTGAAGCACACTCCTTTGATGTTGCTGATTCAGCTGGAGAGAAAGAGACTTGACAGGGAGACACACACCCACAGGCAGATAATAGACTGCTCATCATGTAACACAGAACTAAACCGAACAGTTACAGAATGGAGCAAACAGAAAATCAACTCCTCTACAACTTCTCAGTGATATACTGTACAGTAACCTGCTGACAAAGAGCTGTAAGAGAATGCTGACTAGCTGACTGGTGATGTCTGGAAGCAGTAAACACATAAAATCCAAAGTCAGTAGTAATTTATAAAGACAGTGGTCGTAGCTGAGCTTGTCTGGGAGCTCTGAACATTATTCTAAACATGTCCATATTGCAGGCAAAGTGTTAGAAACAGCACTTTTGTTCTTGGCCTACTGTTTCTATGTTATGTTTAACTACACTACTTATTATTTATACTTTCCAGTGAACGCATTTCATTAAAGATTACATTAATTAGAGTGTCCCTGCTTGAATTCATCTGTGAACCCAGCCTTCACTTGGCCAAAACCACCCAATTAAAACACATGTAGCACAGTTCCTCTTGTTATATGACTCCATCATAGCCACAGTAGGAGTGTAGATAATACTGAGTGAGTCCAGGACAAAATGAAACCAGGCTGAACAAGGCCTACAGAAGGGCCCACCACATCTTTATCAAGATTACAACGAAGTCTCATTTGTGACAGAGACAAATCTGTGAAAAATGATAAAATGCTTGTCATATTGTACTATTACAGCAGCATAATTAACAGAAGTTGAGCCAGAAACAAATCTGACTATAATTTAAGTTATTAAGATAGATGACAAAATTAAGTGGAGCCTCTCAAAATTTTATTCTACAAAACATTAAGTTAAAAATCTTGGGGTTATGAATTGTTGTTTGGAAAAAACAAGTAACATTAAGATCGACTTTAGGCCCTGGGGAAAATGTGTGATGGTCATTTTTTTCTATTTTTGACATTTTATAGAGTAAGTGATGACTCAATCCACCAACAGCAATAATACAACAACAATGGTTATACAATAAATAAATGCTATCACACAATGGGACCATTTCATAAGGGACAGAGGGGAGATGGGGGAGGCCAGGTTATCTAGCTCTGTCACCAATGGTCATTTTCTCTGTCCAGCAGGAGAGAAACTGAAAAGCCAAACTCAACACAACAGCAAACAAAGGAAGTTATGGGGCACATATCCTGTAATTTTTACATAATTGGGATAGTGGGAATAGTTCCTGGACATCAGAAACAGATTTTGTTCTAATGATTGTCACAGGAGGCAGCTAATACAAGCAACAATTTTATCCCTAATAAACTATGGTGGTTATGTCATATCTTCTGCTCATATTAAACCTTAGTGCATGTACTGTATCACCAACCAGTCCATCCTTCCAGTGCTTTGTTCTGAACACAGCATGTTGGGGGGTTGGGTATGAGGAATAAGGTGTGGCTTTACTGTTGTCATGGCAACAGTCAGTTTGAATCTCCTCAGCCACCCGCTGTATGGAGCAGAGGAACTCGGTCATCAATGACAGAAAATGCAGACCCGAGTATTACAAATTAGCAGGCAGCACTCGACATGAGTCTCTGCCTCTGTGCATGCATGTCATGGCAAAAGAAACACAGCTGAGGTGTGCTCAGTGATTTTCCAACCATTTCCTATGAGGGATGAAACCTGTGCTATTGTGACAGAGTTCACATAAGCATAGCCCATAAGTTATACCAGAAGCATCATAATGCTGTACAGTAACATGTCCCTAATAGGCTGTGGCTGTTTCTGGTCACTGAACACTAAATACACTATATTAGAATGGAAAGTAGTCTAATAATGTCCTGATTTATTGTAAACCCCTCACACAATTCCATCAACTAAAAACTGCACATCAAAATCCAAAGTCACTTCATTTAGACACTGACCATTATTCAGTAGCAGCTACACTGTGCCTAATAAAAACCTTAAACCCAAACTACTTGATCAACACAAGACGTTACACCAAATATATTTTCAGATTGAAACATTCTAAACCATATATAATATAGTTCTAATATAACCATATAATATTATAATATATAGTATATAATATAACCATAGTTTCTGATAACAATACTGATAATAATAATAATACTGATAATAGTACCTTGAAATATGAGAAATATTACCATCTGATGGTGAAATGCAGTACTGCAAAATCTCCTGAGTATACTGGACCATGGACAAGTGACAACTGTCTATGGACAGCAGAAGAGGATATACAGTAGCTAACCATTTCCTTGCAGCTGTTAAATGGTTTTTCTATATGACCTTTGAGAGTACCAAATACTTTACATTAGATATGAAATACCTTGGCTTGTTGACACCCAGTTCCTTCAGAAACCAGCTCATACTTTTGGATTCTCTCTTCGCTCCTCTCTTTCTACAACATAGTGAGAAAACATTGAATATTTATCATTCAGTTCTATATGGTAACACTGTTCATAAGACACTTAACCAGGACAGGCTACATATGGCCACAATCTGGGACCCAGTTTGGTAACAATGTCCACCAGACAACTCAACCTCTATATATTATCACTGTGCTTAATTTTAACTTTGCTAACTGACCAGATCGCATGTTTGGGAAAATAATTAGCAAATGCATTTTTTTTTTTAAATATTATGCCAAATTTGACTGACAAAAAAAAGTTATTTTAATTTAGGAAATGAGTTTAACATGTCCATAAACATTAGTGTAATTACATTTTTCTACAGTCTCTTTAACCATGTTTATATAAACATAGCACTTTTACAAGAAACCGGAAGTAAGCCGGCAGTAGCTACGGGCGCGGCGGACTTGGAGCTCGGCCTCACTGCATCAATATTTCCACGTATTCAGCGCGTCACACTATGGACTACAAACGGGGTCCTGATTTTTTTTTTTTTTTTGCCTGTATTTGATTACAATTTGGAGAACTATGTATCCCGAAATCGCTTTTAGCCGATTCTCCTTGCTATGCACCATAATTTGTAGCCTTCTGATAACTGCCACCCAATTAATTGAATATTGAAGAAAACCTATAAACGTGATGAATTTGGGGCAAGTTCTGGTATTTTAATAAGGGTCTGAGCCTCTTTTTGGCCGTTTACAGAATATATAGATCTATTGTTATATGACCGAGTGATGACTGATTTCTGGCACAAACTAAGTTGGCTTACCTGAGTGGTCTCCATGACCTGTGTGTCCCAGCCTGGTCAAGTAGCTGGCCTGCTTGTTTAGGCCCATTCATGTGAATTCCCAGTTAATTCCGACAGTTTTCGACAGCATTTAAATGCATCTGATCTGTTTGAGCGCTATGGCAGTCAGAGGCACGTGACTATTGATACAGCTCATTAATTTAAGACATTTTGTGGAAAGAGATAGTAATAAAAGTCGAGCTGGAGAGTAATTACACACTTAATGTTATAGTTACTATCTGACAAAAGAGAGGACTGGCGTTATGTTTAAGAATAAGTCTGCCTGGTTTTCAAGCAGCGTGCCACAGACTTATCAAAACTTCTGGAGTAAGTAAGCTAATGTTAGCTAGCTGTTAACTGGTTCAAGCCTTATAGCTAAGCAGTTAGGTTAAACTAACTTTACTATCTTAGTTAAATTAATCACCTAATGAATAATGTAACCTAACTGTATTTTTGTATTGACTAAGCTCTTGGCTAGTTAGTACAGTAGATGGCTGTAAATAACTAGCACTAATATTATTAAGACCCATAATAACTTTGTAACCTTATATTTGATACATAACTTTCAGAGCCTTTGACATTACCTGAAACTAGAACACTATTTACATTGCAGATCCACTGAACATAAAACATTTTCATGTGCATTAATGTGGTAGTTTAAAACAAAGAAAAGATTTTAACTAACAGTGCAGTTTCCCCATACTTCCAGACACAGTATGATAGTGATAGATATAATAATATATACATAGCAACATCCTGCGGTGAAATACACTAAACAGTAAGCAAATTACTAAATAGATTTTTAAAAACATTTTATAATATGTGTGTCATGTGTATATATAGGTGTTTATTTAAATGGAGAATAAATAGGCCTATACTGCTACATATTTAGTTTGGGGATCTGTAACTGAGTTTAAGTTGGACATACATTGGCATTTCCACGCTTTTTTTTAATTAGTTTGGACTGTTTTGTTTGTTTTTCTTTGTCATAACTTTTTGTGTGTGTGTGTAGTACTGGAAGGTGGCACCATTGCTAGCTGGAGGACAGCAGATTATCTTTTCAGCGAGGATGCTACATGTCCCGATACTCTGAGGTGAAGAGTAGGGTGACAAAAACCAAACGCAGCACCTTTATCTTTCAACAAAAGTCATTTATCTTTAACCCTTTTAAAGACATTACTATACTGTACTTATGTTTTTCAGTATATTTGAGAGCAAAGATTGCCTTTGGAGCAAGGTGACAGTTTTTCATAGCATGTTTCTGTCTGCCTGTAAGAAGCGCCAGAGTGTGAAGTCTGTGAGCATCGGCCATTATGTTCTTCCTCCAGCTTCAGTACAGGATGGTGAGGACTTCTCTGTGCTTATTGATTTGTTGTAAACCATATTAAATTTGTGGCTCCCAATGTTGACATCCCAAGATAAATCTGAGGGGTTGCAAGATGATTATCAGGTAGGAAATAAGAATGAAACATTTCTTTTATTCAAGATTTTTTGTTTATCTTTGCTCTTTTGCAGATAAATACTGGTTAATTTTACTTCTTCATTCTTATATAAATGTTCAGATGGGCCAGTCACTCTTTGCTTGAACATCTCGCAACTCACAGAAATAATCAAGAGGCTGCAAGCCCGCAACTAGTCACGTTGAAGGGCCAAGCCAAAAACAGTGGGAGTCACTCTAAGGAATGTTTCAAAATAAACAGATTTTATGAATTGTAACTCATCTGGTGTTCCTCTGATTATTATTTAAGAAGTCCGAAATGTGGTTGGGAGGTTGATTTGGGAGCATGAAGAGGAGCAGCCAGTAGCACAGGTAAGCACACCAGGCAGCAGAATTCACACAAAGGCAGATGATTATTACTGCAATCGCTTTAGGTGGACTGGTTTCTGTTTTGCAGGGCTCCCCTGAGGGCTTTAGCTGCCAAACAGAAGATGGGTACAATGAAGGACAAGTCAGCAGAAGCAAGTATGTTAAGTTTTCATTTTAAGAATTGAGAATAAATAAAGTGTAAACTATTTTCTCTATTACTCCTCTGACAGCTCTGAACCATCTGACTCAGACACACCAGAAAGTGAAGCCTTGCTATGTGGTAATTTGCAGGATTATCCTGTTAATTACATGCTTACAGGTGAAATTTTTATTACCATTTATTTGAGAAAATGTCTATTTTTAATAAGATAGTAATACATAATTGATCTTTACTGAAAGTTTGGTGAAATATTTTTTATTATGAGACAATCATCTTTGCTGCTGTGTGTTAACCTTATATTGCAGGGTATATCAGCATGGACAACCTACAGAAATACTCAGGTGATCTGTGTGATTTCCATCCCGTGTGTGTCCAATGCTCCAACTGAAAACCCTCACATAGGCAAACATGCACAGAAAAGCATGTTAAAGAAGAACAAGCAGCAATTGTTCTGTTCACAGGTGTCAGCTGTAGGCAATGCAGACACACTGTTTATTTTGTTTGCATTTCTTATCTGCATTTAAGTATGCTGACTGACTTAAAATAAACGAGTGTATTACCGGTCTCATTTTGTAACTTTGTAAACATTATCTCATCGCATTTGCTTTATTATTTGTCTATGTTTTATTCCTCTAACATAGTCATTTTCCATGTTGCCCATGGGCAACGCTGCAGCTCCTCTGAAAAGGGCAAATGGTACAAATGGGCCAGTCGCACATGTAATTTAATAATCTGGTACACCCATGGAACCTACCTCACAATGTGTGCAGTTCTGTTCATTTTCTGGTGAGACAAAAGTGAGGATAGGTTTGTTGGCCAATCGACATGCATGGATTATTCACGGGAAATAAACGGCATCAAACTGGAGACTGCGGTCAAATCAGCTGCCGTTCAGTTTTCCGTGGTCAAGCCAGCCGCGCTAGAATTTGAAGTGCGCCTATATACTCTATATACTTACATTTACGGTAAAGGTATTGAAACGGGCCAAAGCTCGCGATTTTCAAAATAAAATACCTTAACTCCAATAAGTTTAATAAAAACACCTTTTTTAATATTTACAGCATAAGGACATCATTTATGGATTCTACATCACCCGCACTATTACCACACAGAATCAAGCATTTCTACTGTACCATTAAATAAAGTGTTTTTATTAAACTTATTGGAGTTAAGGTATTTTATTTTGAAAATAAACTTTTTTTTTTTTTTTTTTTTTTTTTTACAAATTACATCATGGTATATCGATAATAAGGACTCACTAGCAACTTGTAATCAGTAAAATACAATGCAAATCTGATTCAAAGTTATATACAGCAATAATAATAGTTACATGTAATTTGATGAGAGCAGTTATATTTTTGAGTAGTTGCGATCACCCCTGCAAAGTGGACTGTGCCGCCGGTCTTAACCAATCAAATGCTTTGTTTTGGTACCGGCCCCACTGTCGGAAAGATCACATCTTTCCGTACTTTGACCATAATGACACAGCCAACGATTCTGACATTGACAGAACTAGAAAACAGAGGTTTGTCGCTGGACCCGGATTTCCTCGTCCCCTTGTTGACGATTCAGTGTTGCATTTGTCATGGCGCAGGAAAATCTGTCTGTGGTGCTTCACTCTCAGGGAGACCTCAGGCTGGTAGGGGCCCCACCACAGCCTCGACACATTTTCACCTCATTTACAATCTGAGACTTAAACTGACTGCATTGATTTTGTCCATTTCTCACAGGAAAATCGGTCCGTCCCAGAGCCAGGACCTAATGGTACGCAGCCCTATGTGTTTCTAGTAAAGAAAATGTAATCTGTCGAGGTTCAGTTAGCAATTTATAGGCCACTTTACCGAGTAGCTAGGTTTTAAAGCTTCTAATGCATGAACTCTGATCCAACCCATCAATATATATAACTTGGAACAATGTGGTTCAAAGCTGCTGCAAGTCAAAATGCATTACAGCTTCCTGGCTAAAGACTATCTTGCTTCACCTCCATTAAATTTATTGTTTTTTAACTGCAGAAAAAAACTGTCCTTATTTATGACTTTGAAGTATATTTCCCTGTACATTTTGGTATGACTTTAAAATAGTCTTCACTTGCATGTCAATTTAATGGTGTCAAAAATAGATATTTGTAACAGATTACCTTTTCATTTGGTCAGCTCAAAAGTCAAACTGTAATGACATATTAGTTACATTCATATTTGGATCTTTGAACAAATGAGATACTCATAGGTCTGGCATCAGGCTAATCTCAGTGTGTCAGTTTTTCCTCACTGTGTCCCGGTCTTGTATTTCTGCATATTTTTACACTCAGAGGTTTTGATCCAGATGCACTCTGTTGGAATCTGTGGATCAGATGTTCACTACTGGCAACATGGCCGAATTGGGCACTTTGTGCTCAACAAACCAATGGTGTTGGGGCACGAGGCATCAGGACGGGTGATGAAGGTTGGATCAGCAGTCATGCACCTTAAAGAAGGTAAGTGGTTCAGTTATATGTGTGTGTGTCAGAGCTGTGAAATATCACAACAAGGCAGTGTCTCAAAAGATATGCACTGCAGAAATCTTTTGTTTAAGGGAAGATGAGAAGCTTTAATATTTCAAGAAGTATTTATAAGTCAACAAGGTAATGATACTTATCTCAACTTAGAAAATGTACCTACAGGGATATATGGAGTATATTTTCACAGAACTCTAATGCCATACATTGCACATCATGTTACTAACATCAAGTTACACTGAACCACACTGTACCTGAACAAACCTATCCAATGCTGTGAGCCTGACTTACTTTTCAGGGGACAGAGTGGCCATTGAGCCTGGGGTGCCTCGTGAGATGGATGAGTTCTTCAAAAATGGAAGATATAACTTGTCTCCCACCATCTTCTTCTGCGCCACACCCCCTGATGATGGAAACCTGTGCCGATACTACAAGCACAATGCCAACTTCTGCTACAAGTAACAGTAACCATTACTTAACTGCCAAATGACTCTCTTGCCTAACCTTTTCTTTCTTCCTCTTTACTCGGTGCCTCTTTTTTCCCAACTCTCCAGGTTGCCTGATAATGTGACATTTGAGGAGGGAGCTTTAATCGAGCCTCTGTCTGTGGGGATCCACGCCTGTCGCAGAGCCGGTGTAACTATCGGCAGCACTGTGCTCATTTGTGGTGCAGGTAATGAAAAAGCTGAAAACTATTCAACCTACGTGATAAAACATGTCACAAAGTTTTGTAGTAATATTCCACTGCAAAGACCCTACAGAGTCCATTACAAGACATGCTGTGAATGAATATAAAAGTGGTGATTTTCCTTTATTTGAATAACACACATGTGCAGGTAAGGGATCTAGTTTGACACTCAGTAGGTGTATACACAAAAGTTAGTATTATACTGACTCAACAAAACTCAAGTGAGGTAAAACTGCTGATCCTTAGGTTACTTTGTAAGAGACTTAATATTTAACAAATTCCTTGTGTTGAAAACAAGCTAACGGACATTTTAGGTGCCTGTTTTAAGTGATACAAAGTGAACTGCAGGTTTAATGTGAATCCTGAACATATGCCTTTATGTTTTTTTTTTCCTTGTGCAGTATCTGAACCTTAATATTGCAGGCTTATGTTGATCGTGCACTATATGCATCTTTCCTCTATTCCCACAGGACCTATTGGGCTGGTCTGTTTGCTTGTGGCTAAAGCAATGGGGGCCTCCCAGGTTGTGATCACCGGTAACACACATTTCATCTCAAATGACAAAAGATACAGATTTTGGTAGCATCATCTGAGCAGTCTTTTCTTTTGTCTTTGCTGTGGTCAGATCTGCTGCCCGAGCGTCTGACAATGGCCAAAGAGTTGGGTGCTGATTTCCAGCTGCCTGTGAAGGGAGGACATGGACCCCAACAGCTCGCCAAGACTGTAGAGGACACACTTGGAGCGCAGCCTCACATTACTATTGAATGCACAGGCAATGAGAGCAGCATCCAGACTGCCATCTATGTATGTGAATAACCTCAGTAAATACTATTTAAAGTTGTAGTTGGAATATTAAGTAGCTCCACACAAGGTGCAAGTATATTACTGGGTAAGGTATTATTACTGGGTGATGTGTCAGAGGGTGAAGTTATGGTATAATCTGCTATTGGTGGTGGAAAATACAGTCAATTTACTCAAGTTCTGTAGTTAAGTATAAATCGGAGATACTTTACTTGGATGTATCTATTACTTGCAACTTTGTACTTGTACTCCACTATAGTTCACAAGTTAATGTTGTACATTTTATTTGATTACATTTGTCAGCTGCAGTTGGCAGTTGTTTTACAAATTTTACACTCAAATTATATAGTGAGCTTATAAAATCGTTGTGGATTAAACTGCCAGAGAATATGTAAAATAATCAGCACTAGCTCCATCTCAGCAACTACCACAGAAATATTTTGCTTACTCATTAATAATCATCAAAATATTTGTATGCTTGGTAATTAATGGTAATTTTGAATGAAGGTTGTTTACCTGTTTTGGAGTATTGTTGGTGGTGTATTTCCACCTTTACTTAGCGAAGGATCTTTCTCCACCACTGACTATATTTTGTCCACTGTGAAGCATAAAACAGAGTAGCTGCAGACTCAAAATAAATACTTTCTGTTTTTTGTTTTTTTTTTAATATCAGGCAACACATTCAGGAGGCGTGGTGGTGTTGGTGGGCCTTGGCTCTGAGATGTCCACTGTTCCTCTGGTCAACGCTGCCGTGAGAGAACTGGACATCAGAGGAGTCTTCCGCTATTGCAACACGTAAGAGAATCTACATTAATTGCACTTGTTGATCTAAAAGTGGGTGTTCGAAGCAAATCAGGAGGCAGTTCCCTTTGTGGGTTATCTTACTGACAGCAACATTTAGAACAACTGTACTGTATATCTACAGCTACAGCTCATAAAGTAATTCTCAGTTATCACAGAGAATGAACTGCTCAGTAAAACATTTTTCTTTGTGTTGCAGTTGGCCGACAGCCATAGCCATGTTGGCGTCTGGTAAAGTGAATGTGAAGCCCCTCGTGACCCACCGTTTCCCTCTGGAACAGGCAGTCCAGGCCTTTGACACCACGCGTCAGGGTTTGGGGATAAAGGTTATGTTAAAGTGTGACCAGAATGACCAGAGCACCTAATCTGACCCGAGAGACAAAACAGACCAGCTGACTCAGCATGGCATCCATAAACTGGACTTTAACTCAAAGGAAAGATAAGTTTGTTCAGTGGGACACACTAATAGCAGCACTGTGAAGGACAGCTGACTGCTGTGTTACTTACAGCGTCAAATGGTACGAGTAATTTATTTTGATAGTCAATTTTGTCCTATAACCAACTTTTAATTTTTCTATATATAATCTGCCATTTCTTGCATTAGAAATTTCAGATATTTTGAAATACTGTAACATAAAAACTTTAAAATAATTTAATTGAAATTACAAAGTGTGATGCATTTCTTTTGTACATTAGATCCTGCACTTCCTAAATGTAGCCTTTAGGGGGAATCAGAGGCTCAAAGTGGAATCACTGACAGACACTTGTACTGTTTTGTAGTTATTATACAAGAAATATGTACTTTTCAGTTGTGTACCAACAAGAACTGTTATCAGATTATGACTGCGCATTGCAACTGCCCATTAAGCTTCTTTTAGATCGTTTGTTGATTGACCCAGTCCAAAAAAAACCACCCTGGTATCACTCTGATTTTATTAACTTGCCACAATGACATGATACTACTATACAAGGCATGCACACAGATAATGTTCATATGGTTAAAATGTACTACAATGCATTGTAAAACCGTTACTCGATGGTAAGGCCTTTTTTTGTCACAGTGTGTGATTCACAGTTCTTTCGCTCTCACGACTGGAGTCCAACAGACAGGTGGGAAGATGTTCGCAGGGGCTAAACCTGTGTGTTTTGTTTTGTTAACAAGAGCACAACACTAGACAAGTTCCTCTATGTACAGACATTCTAATACTGCTTGTGGCAATGGGACAGCTCACACAACACGGTTACATTCACAATCCACTCATAGTATGCATGAGTCTCGGTCAGGAACACTAAAGATGAACATACAGTAGAGTAGCACACAAAAAAGCATCAGTTTTCATACATGTGACTTTGATAAACAGCATAATTAACACATGTTAAAATCTATTCAGTTGCTTGTTATTGAAATGTGTGAGTTTGTACATGATTTAGAAAAAATTTATCTTGCCATTGGGAGGTTGAACTTGTGTATTGCCATATAATGAAGTAAATCTAAAGGATAGGGCATTTCTCCCATAAACCCCTGCTGCAAGCATTGGTTTGATTTACCTGTATATTGTATCAACTTAGCATATTTATACCCAGCATTTCAAACCCTAAAGTAATTCTCATTTCACTGGCAACTGCTATGATGTCTGCTTTTAATTGTGTCTTTGCCATCACCACAGTCTGCTTTAAATTCAACAGCAAGAGTCAATAAATATTTACAGTGCAGCTGTGGTCTCTCCCTCCCCCTGCCTTCAGTCAATATTAGCAAAATATGTATTTACATGAGAAATAAATAAAGAAAATGAAACTATACATGAAGTATAGTAGAAGTATCATATTGCATCACATGAATATAAAAAAATAAATTGTGGAGCATTCACTTGATAAGTCTGTCCACAGAATCACAGACAGGACATAACAGTATCCACACACACACAGACACACTTGTCTCTTCAGCTGGTCAAATGGAAAAAAGCATCTCATGTCAATAAAAGGGCTGTTGCATGTTAAGCACAGACAAGGGAGAGAAGAAGAATTGAAGTCATCAGCTCAAAGAAAACAAAAAGAAAGGACTCAACATGGAGAAGCAGTCCTCCCCCAGTTGCTGGTAAGCTTGGACAGCCAGTCACAGCTGACAGCCTGGCATAGGGAGCTGTCCCTGGCCATCATTTATATGTACATAGGTGTCTCCTGTCCTGTTAGAAGTCTGAACATGGCTGCCGGCATGGTCTTCATGTGAATCTGGAAGTGAGGGAAGCAGCAACATGACCTCAGTGAAATGGGAAAATGTTTATTCTCAGAATATGTTTAAACTTTTTTTGTTTCTGTGTCACTGTGTGTGCGTCTTCACGTTCATGAATGTTAAGTGTTTGCCAGCCTTCACAGGTTAGAAATCGAGACTAAAATCCAAAGCAGAAATTTTATCAATTCTTTCCCCTTTAACACTTTCAAAATTTTACTTTAAACCCTAAAACTTTCAAAATCATTTATGTCTAAAACACTGGATATTCACTTTAAACAGCTGTTTTAACAGGCTGAGTACTTCTTATGATGAATAAACTGAACCTGTGTAAAATCAGTGGATTGCCTCTAAATATGCAACTCATTTTTTTTACACAGTGTAATGTAATAGTCATTATAAAATACTTGGAATAAAAACATTTGCACATTTATATTTGTATGCCTTTCTTCTGTGTGTGTGTTTGTGCAGCAGTTTAACCTCGCCAACAGAGTTCGAGAGGGCCTGGACAATCTTCTCATGTGCTGTGGCCACCACACTCTGCCCATTGATCTCAATTATCCTGTGCCCCACACGGACCCCACCTCGCTCTGCAATACCTCCTCGCATCAGGCTGCATATCTGATGAATAAGAGAGTGGACGGGTAAAAAAACATTTACAGCAGTCTGGTGATGGCATCTGAAACAGCAAAAAAACTAATACTTTTCACATGCTAAGCAACAAAGTTAATTTGTCTGTGAAAAATACACAACAAAGCAGTCAATTCTGACATGCATGGCTTATAAGTAACAATCCTACATGCTTGTGGTTGCAGAAAGACGTCAGGTGGTGTACTTACAATGCCATTCTGGACACTGAAGCCCAGCTGATATTTAAGATCTGGTCTCTTAATAAGGACAGTGGTAACAGGGGGGCAGCTGACAATATTCATTTTCACCTGGACCTGGTTCTTTAAGCCCTTTGACACAGAGAAAAATACACAAACATAGATGATGTGGTTTCATGTTTAAAAACTGTTAATTATAATGTATACCACAGTCGCACTCTTGTGAACGTCTCCATAGTATCTGTACCTTAATGATTCCCTGACAGGTGGCGAGCGGCAGCCCCACGAGGCTGGTGTTGTTGATCGACATGATCTGGTCTCCGATACTGAGCTTGCCAGAGCGAGCTGCTGGCCCGCCATTCATCATGTTGGCCAGGATAACTGTAGGCAGAATGGAGCCCCAGCCAGACTCCACGATCACCACACCCAGGATCTCCCCTTTGCTCTTCTCCAGCTGCAGCTGTGGAGACGGAGCAAGTGGAAATTAAAAGGGAGGAGGAAGAAACAGTTTGGTCTTTTTTATTTTTCATGAAGTTTAAAAACTAACTAACCAGAATTCAAACCATGACTGGGTCACTGACAGCTGATTGATTGGAGCCTGTAAGTGTGTGTAAACAAACACTCCAAAACGTCCTCATCAGTTTTTTTGTTACAGTTTGTTTTGAGATGAGGGGACAGAGTCAAAAACACTAGTGTGTTTCCATCACACCGGATAGTTACAGAGAGAATGCACAAAGAGCTAATTTTCACTTAAAGCCTGGTGCCTGTCAGAAAATGCACTTTTTCTAGTTCCATTCCCTAGATCAGAGCAGAAATCTGTACAACAGCACCCCTGGAGCTGAGAGGGTAGGGCTGGAAAATATCATGATACAGCATATACAGTGATGTGTGATAATCCAAAATGGTATCATTTCACTTTAAGTCCTAGTATTTTGCATTTACAAGTAGTGTATAAAAATGTAATGGTTTGGTGATATCCCCAACTAGATAGGTTCCCATCTAATTATAAATAGATGTACAGATATTTGTTTATTAATGTACAGCTTACCCACAATTACATCTTCTATCATGAAGACATCTTTTCATTATTACATCTATGTATCTACTAAACCTTCATTATTTACTTATACAGAAGCCTTAAATCATGGGTGCTCAGAAGAGGAGTTACAAATTAGGACCAATACAGTTATAAACAAATTTATAAACTGTTGTTTTCAATGTTATTAAGCACCTAAATGTTTTAAATTTGAGCCAAAAACTGTCAATCTGTGTATATCTTAACCAATAAATGGATTTAGTATCAAATCTGCATTTAAGTTCAGTGCTCGAGTAAATGCTGTTAGTTACTTTCCACTGCTGAGTGTAGCGCACATTAATTTCCGCTGCATCTTGAGCCGTTTTGAATCAGCACCTCACTTCGTCACGATCAAGCAGATCTGTGCTGCAGGCCAGAGCAGTCAGGTTCTGTTTAGGGTGATGTAAGTTTGTTTTAGGCATAGACACTAAAAGATTACCAGTGATTTATTTATAGTAATTTATTACATCAATATTTTAATTCACATCTTTCCACATCCGACTACTGCTCACTCAGTAGTCTTAGTGTACACTACATTTTCCTGCTCCAATTTTTCAAGCTCCAGCTGCTAACAGCACATGAAGCCCTGAATAATGAATTTATTCTTCACTTTGTTGGTTAGGAAGCTTTAGTGCTTTAGGAAAGCATAGTTTCCCCATCACTACTAATGACATGTGGCTGTGACATACAGCAGCAGCTGTGTGGCGGCACCCGTGTAGCCTCCGCTGCTCTTACAGCGGGACCTGTTGTACGGTTTCTATTTCTCTTAAAGCCTCCAATAAGACTTTCAAAGCACAGTGTCAACTACAGAGAAAAATGCTAGCCTTGATATTCTCTGAGCAGATTCTACTGTACCATCTGCTTCTTAGTCTAATTAGTTACTGTTTACTTGTGTGTTTCTCTGACGACCCTGTGGCACAAGTGTGATTTGTGCCACATGTGTAAAATCTCACTGTTAGTCTTTTTTTTTCTCCTGCAATGACACAAACCAACAAACATATGCAAAGATGTTACTGCCATTGTCATCTAAGTTGCAAGGCATTTCTGCATGTACTGCAAACTTTATATACTGTAGACCAACCTCTTTGCAGTTTTCAGAGTTGGAGAAATGAATGAGGTCATCATTGTACATCTCCTGGGTGTTTATGATGTCGCTGTACTCCTTCTGGCTCAGGTCCTCTGGGTTAATGCCATTGGCTCTCAGGAACTCCTGGTAAGCTACGCTGAACGCCTGACCAATGGACTGAGCAATAAGCTGGGCCTGCAGACAGAAAAACAGGAATCAGGACAAAAGTGTTTGTTATCTTGAAGCTAATCTTCACTGAGTTACATAAAAATAGCAATAAAAAAAGCATAATATAAACTCAACTTCACTGTCATAAGATATTTGTTCCCATTAAGACAGGAAAGCAGAAAAGAAAAACACAGGTACACTTTCCAGCTCAAGTTGAAGACAACTGGCAGAAAAACAATGTACACAAATTTAATTGTATACTACACTGATTGGAACGATATAGAATTTCATCTTATGAAATGTCAGCCATATGTGATAAAAGTATGCCACACAGTTCCAACATGTTAAAGCAGTTGTCCCCAACCAGGATTGCTTGTACCACATAAAGTACTTTCCCATTTTCCAGGGTGTACAAGTAAGATTGAGGAGTCACTCAGCTAAACCAATGAAAAAACCTTATTTCAGAGAAAAAAAGTGTTAAAATGTGTATTGGGCAACAGTAACATAAGGGTGAGGTTTGTCTGACTATACAGCCAGCAAACTATTAACTACTGCTACTGTAGGCAACTGCACAGGACAACCTCCAAGACATTAATACTACAACAAAACTTAAACACAGAGGATCACTATGACTTGTACTGGGGATATAATTGGAACAACATCCACTTTTGTACAGCTACCTAGGGGTGTAAAGATAAACCAGTACAAATTGATACAAGAGTCAGATTTAAGACTGCAAAACATTACAAAGGCGATGCTTTGTTGAACCAATGGAAACAGAGTTTGCTGCGAGGACAGTCGGCTTCCACTGTGCACCGGCCCCTTACGGATCCCCCTGCAGGTGGTGGGCCCACGGGAGGACGTCCTCACGTCGCTCGTTCGGGCTAAGCCCGGCCGGGCCCTGTGAGGGGAGGCCCGGCCACCAGGCGCTCGCATTCAAGCCCCACTCCCGGGCCTGGCTCCAGGGCGGGGCCCCCGCCGCGC